CATTGGTTTAACGCCAACAATTTGCTCTTAAACGGCAATAAGACAAAACGTATTAAATTTACAATACCTAATGTAAAACATTCGAAAACCAATGTGCTCTTAAATGGGGAGGAGTTGAGTCTTGTGGATACCACTGTTTTTCTCGGTATTACTATTGACGCGAAACTTCAATGGGGCCCCCATATATCTAAATTAGCAAGCAGACTTAGTTCTGCAGCATATGCTGTAAGAAAGATTAGAAGTCTCACAGATGTTGAGACAGCTAGGTTAGTGTATTTTAGTTACTTTCATAGCGTAATGTCTTATGGAATTTTGCTATGGGGTAATGCGACTGATATTGAAGCTATATTTGTTTTGCAAAAGAGAGCCGTATTATAATCTAAATTGTAAAGAGTCCCTTAGAGAAAAATTTAAAGAAATAAACATATTAACTTTGGCATCGCAATATATTTATGAAAATGTAATGTATGTACATAAAAACATAAATAGCTTTAATAAGAATAAGGATGTTCATACCTTAAACACTAGGAACAAACATAAGCTTGTAATGCCACTTACAAGACTCCACAGAATTAGTAATTCATTTATGGGGCAATGTATACGCTTTTACAACAGAATCCCAGAACATGTTCAAAGTTTGTCAATAAACAAGTTTAAAAGTTTTATTAAAGAAAAACTGTACAAAAAGGGTTATTATAATATCAAGGAATACATGAATGAAAATAACCCCTGGGAATAAGGTGATCGCCACCATGCTGGTTCTATAAAAATTCATTTAAAATTGTATAAACAAAATTATTGTTAAGTGAAATTATGTTTAAAAAAAAAGTCCCGCTGGGTTTCTTGCTGGTTCTTCCCAGGACAGAGGTATTTTCCGAACCAGTGGTAAATAAAATAATGACTTTCAATAAGTATTATGTAATAATCCATATTGAATAAAAATCAGTAACTTTCGTAGTATTAACCTTAAACTTAGTGAAATAGAAACCGCTTTAGCTTTTAGTAAAGTTTCAGTATTACGCCAATCAATTATTAATTTATCTGATCTGTTAGTGATACTTAATGATATAGTCAAAGTTGATAACCTAGTATACCCTGTAAATGTAGAGAATTTAATAAAGATTGAAAGAACTGTTGTTATAAAAGCTTACATGAAAGGAAACCAGATTACGTACTTGATGGAAGTTCCACTTACTGATAGTTTTCATTACAATTATTACAAATTATACCCATTACCTGTATTCGATGCACTTAGAAACAGAACGTCTCTAATAATTCCCAAGTATCCTTACATTTTGGTGAAAGGTTCACAATACTTACCGGTCTCTCGGCCGTGCACCGAAATAGCGGCAGATGAGTTCCTGTGTACGAGCTCCAATATGGTATCCTATCCTAGAAACACATGTGCTGAACAACTGATGAAATTCCAAAGCAATCTTACACTATGTGAACCTCGGTTCGTTGATCTTGAGGATGTCAAAATCCAGTCTATCGGCCCTGTGAATTGGATTATATACGCCAACCATAAAATAATATTAACAATCAAATGCCAAGATGACATCACCAAAGAATCACTTTTGGGCACATACATTACAAAAATTAGTGAGGATTGTGAGACCTTCATAGAAAACTATAAATTGTTGTACCGCTTATGCTTCGCTAAGGAACTGGGCTATAGAGTGACCCCAGTGATAACTAGATCACCTGAACCTGACGGATACTGAAACAGTTAACCTGAAAGGCTTAGCCTTAGACGACCTGAAACATCTAGCATATCTATCGAATCAAAACCTTAAGTTCAGTGGCAGTGAACATAGTGATCAAAGTGATAACAGTGTGATAAGGGTTAAAGGTGTTAGCTTAGCTACTTTATTACTGTATGTCATTTTACCTATTGTTGTAATTTTTAGTGGTTTAAGAAAATGTAAAAGTAATTTAGTTAACAGATGGCGGAATCATCGGACAACAGCTGAAAACACTGAAGCCGATAATTCCGCTCTTAGAGAGGGAGGAGTTATGCAACCACAAGACCATAGGGTTGTTAGGGTTTGTACCTAGAGGGGGCTGCATAAGCATTAGACAGTATCCAGTAACTGTAGAGTCAGCGCTTTTGGTTGCATGAGATATCAGGCAGAGCTCATGGGAGCGGCCACTTCGTTTTGACATCGATTTCTGTCAAGACGTATTAATTAAGTAATTAGAATTATAATTATTGTAATTAGAAATAAATAGATTTTAAATAGTTTTTAAAAATCATTTTACGTTCCCGTAAATTTGACTATCTTTATTTGAAAATACAAATATCTTAACCAATACAATAGTCTAATTCACATTTTTTCACACATTTTACTATTTAAAACTTCACTATTCCAGAAAAACATGTATATAAAACTAACACAGAATTCACCTATTTTGCTTATACAGTAAACCTGAAACATTTTACAAGTTAATTTTACATAAATTGCTAAAAATTACAAACATTTAAATTTCCATTTATTAGACCTCTAATTTTACAAATTAGCGCGCGACTTTTATCCCGAACTAAGTGAACAACCAATCCTCACACGACCCTCAACTGGTCAGTAAAGTAGACGCAAATTAGCACGCGCGGCTATTATCCAATACTAGGTGAGCAACTAATTCTTACACGACCCTCAACTGGTCGGTAAAGTAGATGCCAAACAATGTTCTTATCGGTTATCATGTTTCTTATCAGATAACACAAACAAAATGTTTTATGAATTAAACATTGAAAATAGACATTTTGTTTTTCATACTAATGTACTCAACTTACATTATGCAATACTACTTTACATTAATTCCACTTACACAAAGTGATCATTTCGACCGGGGAACAAATCCTGGTCTAACCTTATTTTAATATTCCTTTAAATCGATAATAAAACAATGGAAAGTAATTTAACCGGGGAACTGAACCCGGAATCATAAATTATATCTTAAAAATTCCCTCCATGAATTTATTAAGAAAATATTGCTAAGAAAACAAGGAACTAGTCCGACCTGGGAATCGAACCCAAGACTTTCAAATTATTAATTCGATATTTCTTTAAGATTTAACTAAACGTTTTCTTATAAGACAATTATTGCTTGATTATTTAACTTTAGAAGCTATTCGTAATCGGTAAACTAATAAATTGAAACATTCTTTATAGGCGCGTCGCCAACACCTTTATTGGAAAAAAGTACGAGATAAATAATTTAAATGAGAAATTTTCTATAAAGTATTTAAAAAATGTGTGAACTGAGGGACCACAATTTAGATATTTTTTCTTTTATCTTTAACACTTTCTTGTTACATAATACAATAAGCTTAACAAATTCTTTACTGAATACCTGTCATCAAATTAACTACATTTCTAAGATACTTTCCTGAGATCTGACTGATAGACTGTGTGAACTGAGGGACCACACTTTAAGGGCTGTAACTTTTTATATATTCTTTTACAAATTCTAGGATTCGTTCTACAATTGTTTTAAGCCTAGGTACTACTAAATTCTTAGCAATTCATTTAGCGAATATCCTGCATTTTAGACGTGGTAGAGCCATGCTGCAGCTATATATTAATTGTATACTTGTAGCACACACACAGAATACCAGCGTAAAATAGCAGCTTAATGCTGCTGTGTTTCGTATGGTGAGTGTAGAGAACCGGAGATCCTTTTACTGGAAATGAGGCATTCCATCTTAGTCCTCACGGGTGACAACGCATCTGCATTTTATTTGATGTCGATGTCTATGAGCCACAGCAACCACTTACCATCAGGTGGACTGTGTGCTCGTTTGTCACCCTTATCCTATAAATTTTTTATACATGACATGAACTTTCACGTCAGTTACTCAGAACGGTAGACAGAGACTACAGACAGGGGAAGGACCATGCTCATACAGAATACCAGCATAAAATAGCTATATATTGATTCGCTAACAACGATAGATGTAGATAAGGTAGATGAATAGAACCTGATATTCAGATAGTCTATTCATCTACCTTATCGGGCATAGAAGAAGGTAAGTTGGATCTGGATCACAAACTAATAAGAAGTGCTAGTGCAGTTCTGGATGTAGGCATATTTTTCCTTTTCAATAGCCCAGCTATTTCAATCATTATAACACAAGCTTCGTTCAATTTTAATAAGTTACATTATTTAATCTTATTAACATAATATTATGTGTAGGCGATGCGTAGCTAACCTAACATACTATGTGAATTTGTAATACCCAATCGACGTCTATACGGACATTTCCCATGGCAGCCGTACCGTAGTCTTCGTGTATAAGGTATTATTAGCCCACATTGTAATATCACTTTCAATTATCATTTTTCAGAAAACGCTGGGTTTTTCTATGCAACCTAAAGCGTGTAAAGGTTGAACCCTGCCTTAAACAAATAACTAATCATAGAAATGCATTAGAAGTGAAATTAAAACCTTGCTCCGCTACCAGAAATGTTATAAATATGAAAGTGAAGAAAATAATATTTAAGAAATACAACCTGGGAATAGGATTGAAAAGGAGCAAACTAAATAGGGGGGAAACAAGCATGTAAGCATTCGTATGCAGAATTATAGATTGCAAAGTACTACGATTTTTTTAATGTACCTAGGTACATGTAGTACATAGCTGTTATGTTTTTATGACGAATTGCGGCTAGCTTGAGCTTACCCTGACGGCAACGTTTTAACGGTTACTGAACCAAATGTATAGTTGTGATTGCAGCTAGCCGCAATTCGGATAACTGCAAGTTCAACCGCATCCTGCGGCAACTGCATGGACTTTTATTAAGGATTTCCTTAAAGATAAATAATGAAGTAGTCCGTTCTCAACGTATATTTATTCTTTGTTGCATACAATACACAATAAAGGACTTTCCAACGGCTCCAGGCTAATATAACATAATATTAAAACAAATATATTATGAACAATTTTTATTGCAAACCATTAAGTACATCGATACAAAATTTAAATAGCCAATTATTGTTCAAAAATATGTTATAAATGTTAATAAATATATAGAGAGAATGCTCAGTGAACACCTGTGAGAAATATTTCTATTGATACTAGTTAATACATGAGTCACTTGACGAAGAATTGGTTTGGATGGATACGTCATTAAGGTTGCTGTTTCTTGTTCTTCATTCTTTTTTATTCTCTCGTCTAACCATGCTTTAAAGGTGAAGGTTGGTAGAAACTCGATCATCATTTTATTAATAGCGTATCGTGAAGTAATTTCTCTAGTACAATCATTTTGACCTTTGACAACCACACCCACAATCTGATTATCGTATATTACAGGGCCTCCAGTATCCTTAAAACAGGACTTTATCTTGGTTTCTACACAATCAATATAAGCAACATAATTTTCATTCGCTTCGCTTCTACGTTCTAAGCCAACATATTGCAGTTCTTTAACTTGTCCAGCATCAGCATTCAAGCCAAATCCTAGAGCTTCTACGTCCACAAGCTGGTCCGCAGCAGTGATATTGCTCAAACTAATTTTTGTAGCAAATGTATTATTATGTTTTTCCGTATATATGAGTCCAACATCTTTGCCTACTCCAGAGTACGTTGGAAATTTCTCGCTCTTTATTATGTGCAAAACAACTGATGTGTCATCTTTTTTTCCAAAAGTAGTGTTAAGTAAGACGTAATTAATTGGCTGTAGAACGCACTTAGCCGTTGTAAGAACAAGCCCATTAGATACTACAGAACCCGCACATAAATATTCATGCTGTTGAGACATTATTGCTGCTATAAAAGGAAATTGCATGATTTTTGCTGGATGTATTTCGTGCATTTGGCTGTTTTGTCTTCTTGTGCAAGTAACGTTGTTTTGATCCACTTCATAAGGTATATCCATGGATTCGTCTTTACCATCATCATTAGGATCTCCATTATCATCTCTGTTTTCATCAACACTCTTTTTTACATGTTCACCTGATATACATTGTAAAAGAAATATAACAAGAATCAAAATGTGCATGAAGTCAAGTGATTTCCTCATTGTAAACATAAATTGCAATTAATTAATATAAAAAAGATTTGAAATTCTGTATTCACTTATTCACTTCTTTCAGTGTATTTTATTTTTCAATACAGCCGTTAAAGTTTTAAGGCCAGTTACTATTTAAAAATATATAACTTCTCTCTGGGCAAATCATTCTAAGAAGTATGTATTGAACGTATTGAGATAATCTAATAAAATTTTAATTTTGTTTCGAAATACCTCAACTCGCACGACCGGCCGACACAATTTATTTTATTAATGTCCACTTAAAGGGTAACTATCGTGTACAGGAAGTTCCATTACTGATAACTAAACATAGCCTTCCCACATAGATTACTAAGGGCGATATTTTACGTGGTGAGTATACCTTAGAGTAGTCTTAGGCCGGCTACATAATTTGGAACTCCGTTTCCTCCGATTCGGGATTCCGTAAATACATCACACACATACGTTTATTTCTCTTTGGATTCGGAATAACAAGGCTCATTTGAGAGGCGCTAGCCATTGAGTCGTCCCCGTATATACTTATTATACTCTTTGCATTTAGTCTAGATATTCTGCCAGCGAATAATGGTTAAATGACGACGATTTTCTGATTGCGATTCCTTTGTTACTAAATCATTGTTTCTGGGTGCATCTCCTTAACACCCTAAGATTTAATCTATTTATCCAGAGATTTTTTAAATATGGATGTCTATAAACTCTTTCGACGAATTATCAAACAATATGAGATGAAAGGTTACGAAAAGAGATACACATATAAGATTACATGTAAAAAAACATACGTGAGTGTCGTGGAACACTCGTTGGGAACGAAGTTCCTTTCGTAGTATATTATTTATATTATTTTATTGACAAACGTATTATATTATTGATTAACAAATACAAATAAAAGAATACTAGCTTCTATTAAAATGAAGCGTAGTTTGAAATAAAATAATATTTCTTTCATGGCAAGATAAGAAAAAATGCGAGGGAGATGGATATTATTCCATCTCGCCTCCTTATAGCCGCCAAGGCCGTCCACGCTACGTCAGAAAGAGGTATGACGGAAAAATCTTACACTTATTGTCGCCTAGCCGTACCGTATGATAACAGATTTAACCGCGATAATCGATTTTATATGCACAGTAAAAACGGTGGCAATCACATGAATAACATCGTTTTGAAGAAGGGAGGGACGTTACAATATTTTGCGTTATTGGTCCGTTTGCTTCAAACATAACGTCTCATCTTGACAGTAGTGTTTTCAGTGAAAACACAAATGTGCAAGATCACACTACGGCTGTGAAAACTTTTCACAGCCGTAGTGTGATCTTGCGCATTTGTGACGGAGAGGCTAATTCTTGCAATATTAATGTTGAGTAAATGAACTAGATTACCCACACAATGGTGGTAAAAGTCTAAGTATGGCAATTTAAATTGCATGTAATTGTAGTAATGTACTTACGGCGAACTATCGCTATCTCTTACTGACATACGCTGAGGTCTTGTTTATCTATATTTCTCTGTCTACGATCCTGAGGTACGTCCCGCCATGAGTATTGCCATTGTCGTTTTGCATCGGGCGTCGAGCATGACCAAAAACTAATAAGAGTGCTAGCGGATGCATGACCTTGGGGGGGGGGGGACGTCAAGATGGACCGTGTATAAGATGCTTTAGAATATACTGGCGTATATACGTAGTGATTATATTCTCTTTGCTGGCGTATAGACTACCTGTACAACCCGTAAACGCGTGACAAATTTTGATTTGTTATTGTGTGCGTTAGCTAGTGATGTACATATTACATAAAAGGACTTTAGAAAAATGATTGTTCAGAAAACGCAAAAAAAAACGTAAAGAGTAAAAAAATAGTTTACTGCACGAAACTGAATAACTTTCGTGTTGTTTTATTGAAAATTAACCATGAATTTTTACCATGATAGTTTTAAAATAGTTAAAAAATAATGATTTAATAATAATAAATCATTAAATTTAATTAAATAATAATAATAATTCTTATATTTACGCGAACACTACACATTTTTAAATAAAACTAATTTTACGGATTTTATCGCGTCGAACCAAATCGAACCAAAAATTAATATTAAAAAACTGAAGGTAGCCGGGCTAACTATGACAGCAGGACGTCAAACAACTCAGTCCCCCGTGACCACGGGTGCTGGAAAGCACCCGAAACGTCGGGAATATATAAAAATAAGTTAATATACGCGATAAAATCCGTAAAATTAGTTTTATTTTGTTAAAAAATATTCAAATAACATGTTCCTGGGAATATGCTGCATCAACCTGTCTTTTCCATCATTCATCATCCATTACAGCCTATAAAAGTCCACTGCTGAACATAGACCTCACCCATTGATTGGCTCATAGAGGGGATTTTGCCATAGTTGACATGCTTGGCGAACCTGTTTCAGTTTCCCTGTGTCATCTCTTACGACACTCAACTCAATTGTGATTCACAGATGTTCATTTGTGATTCACAGTTTACAAAAAGGTCTTATTTAAACACAAGTAAAGTTCAGTGTGTGATCAGCCTTATGGGCATACAAATGTCAAATATTATTAATAGTTCATTGATTACATTATTCATAATAATAGATAAGATTATTAGATTAAATTATTCATCTTAAATAATATTGATTACATTGGATTAGATTATTCATATAAGTTTACATTATTCATATTAGATTAGATTATTCATAAATTATTAGTTCAAAATTATTATATAGTCGTTGAGTTTACTATAAGTATTATGTCATCTAATACAGTCAACCGGACATTACTCTGACATTCAATATAATATGTAGATAAACGACCGTATACTTCCGAGCGCGCGGGTAGTACTGAACCACAGAGTACTTTTTATATACTGAAATACTAAACTTAGCAAGTACCTACTGCGCGTTCGCTCTGTCGGATTGTGACGTCACGTCACAGAACGAGTGGGTAAAAATTGAAAAAATTGCGAAAGTTCAAAACGTTATAACTTTCGTATTTCTGCACCAATTTGGATGAAACAAAAGCTATTGTATACATACATACATACATACATACATACATATATATATATATATATATATATATATATATATATATATATATATATATATATGTATGTATATATGTATATATACATATATAAACATAGCCTTAAAGATATATCGGTTTTATTGTCAAATCAGAACATGTTGGAGTAATCCATTGTTGGTCTTAATAACCTGATCCTGTATCGCACAGTCAAAACCCTCGGTTTCCCCAAAGAGATACACAAAACGTAGCCAGTGGAGGGAAAAGACTGTGTCTACGAAAGGCTCATGCAGAGCCTTGTAGAACCTCCCGTGGAGCTCCTTCTCCTTCCATACGGTCTCCCGGTCGGAAATGCTCTGTACTGCCAGGTCTTGCCTGTGCTCGTTGGCTAAGGATAGAGGGGTAAGTCCTTTATCACAAGAAATAACGTCCCTATAGAATGGATCATCCGCTCTCGTCAGAAAGTAATTACGGAGGCTGCACACTTCGCAATTATGCATGGTAAGCGATCTCAAAAAGCCGCGTCCACCATGCTTCCGCGGCAAGTACAGCCTCATTACTGACGATCTCGGATGATGCATTCTGTGGGACGTCATATTAGTGCGGGCTTTGCTTTCTAGAGCGTTCAATTCGGTCTGAGTACACCTGAGTATGCCAAATGTATACATGAGAACAGGCATGATCAAACCGTTATATGCATGTGTCTTATTAACGCCCGACGAAAGACTGTTAAGCACTTTTGTCAAGCGTGCATAAAGCACATCGCAAACTGACTGTTTCATGTCCGTCTCATCGATACCTATGTTCTGTGACATAACCAGGTATCGGTATGTTTCAGCCTCGGATAGGGTCTTTATGTTGATGGGCATAGATAAGTCTATGCCCTCAGAGTTAGCAACCCTTCCCCTTTCGACATGGAGGACCGCACACTTATCCGTCCCCAGCTCCATTCTAATAGAATTACTAAAATCACAAGTGATGTTTAACAATTCCATAAGATGAGAGCGACTGGAAGCGAATAACTTAAGATCATCCATAAAGAAAAGGTGGGTCACTTTTGTACCTCCTCCCCGAAGCTGAAATCCCCTTCCGGAACCCTCCAGTAAGGTACTCAGAGGGTTCAGAGAGAGGCAGAACCATATTGGACTCAAACAATCGCCCTGAAAGATACCCCTTCTTATCCTTATGTGGTTCTCTGCAGCCATCATCCGCTCGCCTAGATGACAAAGGATCATACTCCACTGCCCCATACACTGCCCGAGGAAGTCTCGAAATGTACAACCTTGTATAGCTCGAGGACCCTCTTAAGCCATGAATGAGGCACCGAGTCGAATGCCTTTTTGTAGTCTATCCAGGCGGCGGAGAGGTTCCGACGGTTGCGTTTAACCACCTTACCAATGACTGCGTCAATGAGGAGTGGTTCCTTGGTTCCACGACCACCGCCCCGTCATCCATTTTTAGCGCGCGATATCACCTGATTTGAGTTCAGGTGACGAGTGATTCCCGCGCTCAAAATAGATGTTAGTGTCTTGTATATGGTATGTAGACATGTTATGGGGCGGTATTTGCTCGGGTCTGTGGAATTCCGGTCTTTAGGAACCAAATGAGTGATCCCAGTAGTGAAGAGGCTCGGGAGTGACTTTTGGTCACGAGCCTCTTGAAACTGTCGGGCGAGCACAACGTGACAACCACGAACCCCTTCAGCCAGTAGTGATACAGTCCGTCGAGTCTCGGACTTTTCCAGTTCGGGACCCTACGGACCACCTCAGCTACGTAATCCGGCGTTATGATGACGGGGTCCATGGGCGTAACATTCGCACACTGACTCTCCACTACTTCCGTCCAAGGGCTCTCGCTGTGGTTTACGGGCTCTGACCACAGACCGCGCCAGAATGTGACAGTGTCGGCCTAATGCGGTGCTGGGCCCGTTCCACGTACCATTGGCCGCTCCAATGATTCATAGAGCCTCTTCTGATCACTCTGGAAGAGACGATTTTGGTTGAACCGTGTCAACCTCTCGGTATATCGCCGTATCCGCTTCCCCCAAACAGCGATTCTCTGCTTCAGGTCGTCTATGCGCTCCAACAGTTTTTGCGTTATATCCGGCTGGGACAAGCTGATATTTGTCCCAGCAAACGCCATCCTGATGGTGTGCACAATTCTCGGCCTATTATTGCCCGACCAAAAGCGTGTCAGTCTGCCGATGAGGGTCCTTGCCTTTGCGATGCGGTCCTCAATCCTTCTTCTTCAGGATGGGATAGCGCTACTTTGCCTAGTAGCGCGTGCAGCTGGGAAGTTTGGCGCCAATCCGTCTAAGAATTGAATCCGTCTCGCAAAGGTCCCGGTTGGCTTCCAAATAGGTCACCAGCATTGGGTTGAGAGCCCTCACGACAGCACTATTCCGCTTGCTTAAGGGTATGCGGGGAAGTCGCGGTCTATTTTCGAGAGGCGTACTGCGCGTTTCCAAAATAGCCTCTTCCAATATGCTCCTCATTTGCTCTAGTTTGTGGGAGACTATTTCACCATCGTCTGAATCTACTACAACTGGAATATCTGCGGCGGCATACACGTGTGCAGATTGCTCTGCAATTAGTGGCGTCGCATTACCAGCTGTAGCATTTTCATCCGATGAGGGAACAGCCTCACATCGTAGTCGTTCGAGTTCGGCGTCACCAAATATGTTGAAGCGCAAGATGTACCGAACTCGGTCTGCCAGGTTTTGCTCTGTTACATGAACAGATGGTTCCAGCTCTACGAAAAAGCGATGCATCCGGGTCCGATACGCTAACATTCCAGTTTCTTCCCCTTGTGCCCTAAAATACGCTCGCAATACGCTTGCGTTCATAATTTTCGTCCAACGCATGCGACGTGTTCCACCAGCGGCGGGTGCTGCTTGCTGAGTCCGAGAAGACCCAGCTGATACCAAGCCCTCTGATGGGGATTATGGATGCGGGCGGCTACTATGTGGTCTTGGAGTCCCCCGCGCTTGACTGGCAACCCGTATGCTGTCACGCCCAGCGCCAGCTCCAGACGCGCCCTGGCGACCTCCAGGCAGCAGCCCTTAGCGCACTCTTTTATTCTCCATCATCCATATTATGGGCATCAATTAACGGGAAAGATCCAGGCTCGGCACCGTTTCATCGTGCGGCCATAAGCACAAACGGACCTTTACACCCTCAATTCTGCCAAGGCACGGCGTACACACCTCTTGGCAAGGCGCTGACTGACTGCACTGACGTAGCAGTTTTGTCACTTAACTGTTACGTCAGCGGGCGGTGGGGTCGTCACTTCCCCACGCCTTTTTATTATTATCATTATTATGGGGTATCTATAAAGTTTTCTCATCTGGTTGGGCAGTATAATTATATAATTGTAAATTAACAAGATAAACATACATAAATATCAATAAAATAGAATAAACACATAAAAAAACCAACTAGATGGAAGCCCTCGTCAGGGGAGACCAAACGGCCGAGGGTTAGGGGAAAAGGAAACGTGACCGGCGGACGATGCGAGCGGTATCGGTATCACAAGAAATAACGTTCATATAGTATGGATCATCCGCTCTCGTCAGAAAGTAATTAAGGAGGATGCACACTTCGCGATTATGCATGGTAAGCGGGCTTAAAAAGCCGCGTCCACCATGTTTCCGCGGCAAGTACAGCCTCATTACTTACGATCTCGGATGATGCATCCTGAGGGACGTCATAATAGTGTGGACTTTTCTGTCCACAGCGCTCAATTCGATCTGAGTCAACCTGAATATGCCAAAGGTATACATGAGAACAGGTATGATCCAACTGTTATATGCGTGTGTCTTATTCACACCGGACAAAAGGCTGTTAAGCACTTTGGTCAAGCGTGCATAAAACACAACGCAAACTGATCGTTTCATACACGCCTCATCTACACCGATGTTCTGTGACATACATAGATATCGGTATGTTTCAGCCTCGGAAAGGGTCCTTATGCTGATGGGCATAGATAAGTCTATGCCCTCAGAGTTAGCAACCCTTCCCCTTTCGACATGGATGATCGCACACTCATCCGTCCCCAGCTCCATTCCAATAGGATTGCTAAAATCACAAGTGACGTTTAGCAATTCCATAAGATGGGAGCGACTGGAGGCGAATAACTTGAGATCATCCATATAGAAAAGGTGGGTCACTTTTGTACCTCCTTTCCGAAGCTGAATTCCCCTACCGGAACCCTCCAGTAAGGTACTCAGAGGTTTCAGAGAGAGGCAGAATCAGATTGGACTCAAACAATCGTCTTGGAAATACCCCTTCTTATCCTTATGTGATTCCCCGCAGGCGTCATCCGCTGGCCTAGATGACAAAAGACTACTCCACTGCCCCATACACTGCCCGAGGAAGTCTCGACCTGTACAGTCAACCTTGTACAGCTCAAGGACCCTCTTAAGCCATGTATGAGGCACCGAGTCGAATGCCTTTTTATAGTCTATCCAGGGGGCGGAGAGGTTCCGACGGTTGCGTTTAACCACCTTGCCAATGACTGAGTCAATGAGGTGTGGTTACTTGGTTCCACGACCACCGCCCCGACATCCATTTTGAGCGCACGACATCACCTGATTTGAGTTCAGGTGACGAGTGATTCCCGCGCTCAAAATGGATGTTAGTGTCTTGTATATGGTAGGTAGACACGTTATGGGGCGGTATTTGCTCAGGTCTGTGGAGTCCCGGTCTTTAGGAACCAAATAAGTGATCCCAGTAATGAAGAGGCTCGGTAGCGACTTTTGGTCGAGAGCCTCTTGAAACTGTCGGGCGAGGACAGCGTGACATGCCACTAACCCCTTCAGCCAGTAGTGATGCAGTCCGTCGAGTCCAGGACTTTTCCAGTTCGGGGCCCTACGGACCACCCCAGCTTCGTCATCCGGCTTTATGATGACGGGGTCCATGGGCGTAATATTCGCACACTGACTCGCCACAACTTCCGTCCAAGGGCCTTCGCTGTGGTTTACGGGCTCTGACCACAGGCTGCGCCAGAATGCGATCGTGTCGGCCTGATTCGGTGCTGGGCCTGTTCCACGTACCATTGGTCGCTCCAATTATTCATAGAGCCTCTTCTGATCACTCTGGAAGAGACGATTTTGGTTGAACCGTGTCGACCTCTAGGTATATCGCCTAATTCGCTTCCCCCAAGCTGCGATTTTCCGCTTCAGGTCGTCTATGCGCTCCGTCAGCTTTTGCGTTATATTCGGCTGGGTCAAATTGATATTTGTCCTTTGTATTATTGCCCGACCTGAAGCTTATCAGGCTGCCGATTAGGACCCTTGCCTTTGCGATACGGTCCTCAATCCTTCTTCTCCAAGCTGGGATGGCGCTACTTTGTTTAGTAGCGCGTCCAGCCGTGGGAAATTTGGCGCCAATAATACGGCAAACTGCCAGTGCGGCGCCAAAAGTATTGAGTCCGTCTCGCAAAGCTCCCGGCTGGCTTCCAAAAAGGTCACCAGCATTGGGTTAAGAGCCCTCACGACAGCACGATTTCGCTTACTTAGGGCTATGCGCGGGATTCGCGGTCGATTTTCAAAAGGCGTACTGCGCGTTTCCACAATCGCCTCCTCCAATTTACTCCTCATCTGCTCTAGTTCTTGGGTGACCATTCCATCATCGCTTGAATCAACCAGAGCGTGAAGATTCATGGCGCCCTCTATATGTGGCTGCTGGTCTGTGGCCTGAGGAACCGCATCCCCAGCTATAGATATATAGAATAGTCAGAATAGTCAAATATCATGTTAATATTGTATGTATAAGTATATAAGTAGGTATTATTTAAATATATAGTAACATAACACACCTGTTACCTAGGTTTAGTCTCAGTGCATGTGTGTATACGTTATATAATATGTTAGCTTTTAACTCGTAATTGTTAATAGATAACTATGAGCTCATATATAACTCTTAGTTGGAAGATCACACACCGACTTGTCTGTGAAGTCACAAGGATCCAACTGAAAACCGGCGCTGTATTTGCAGCATTATGCTGAGTTGGAGACCTATTTGATGTCACATTTTCATATTGATTTTTTTTTCCTTTTTACCTTTTTGTTTCTTTGTTTATTTTATTATTGTGTATGTACTGCTTCTCAATTGTAAATGCGTAATCAGTGTTAGACTGGTACATGCATTCTTTTCCCCCCTTGCTTTTGTTTATAATATTTTTGTAATGCGTGTAAAATGTGTATATCAAATAAATAGTTCTTTCTTTCTTTCTATAGCCGGTTCATTCGACGAAGGAATACGCTTCACGTCGTAATCGTTCTAGTTCGGCATCATCAAATATTTTCGAGCGCATGATGTACCGAACTCGGTCTGCCAGGTTTTGCTCTGTGACGGGAACAGACGGCTCCAGCTCAGCAAAAAATTATTATTATTATTATAATAAATTTGTTTTTCTGTATAGCTCTTGGGTGGGTTGGGTTAACTATAATTACCAAACTTATTATGTAGGATTGAATTAAAAATGTATATTTAGTATGTATAGTAGTCTTCACCTAACAATATTAGTCTAGCTTTAAGATGTAGGTACATAAGCTATTAATAATGTATTTATCACAATCAAATTATTCTTAAATAAATAAAATTCTAAATATTTATTGTAAGTTTAGTGTAACATTTGGCGTTAATTTAAAATATGATGTATCTTACAACATACTATCCTTTCGGGTAATACAATAGGTTTAAATAATAATAGGTTGGTGACGTACATAACTATATTGATCATAATTAATCAAAATTATAAAAGAAATTAAATTACATAACTTAGTTATTATAAAATTGTAAATAACAAATTGTTTTGGTTGTAGTTAAATACTCTTTGAAACACAAAGCGCGCCAACAACGAACGAATCGCGCCCTTACTCTTTTGCTGGCTCACTTGATCCGTTCATGTACTACAGCAGCCCAAACTCGAGTAGGGAGATCCAACTAGCTTGCTACATATATATTTATGGATTATCTATGGATCCAACTCGAGTTAACTCGAGTTAGTAACTCTGAGTAATCTGAGTAACTCGAGTTGACTCATCACTAACTTTGCGTATGCGTAAGCAATAAGCATCATATTAGTCTGTGCTTTGCGTGTATATTACTCTAGGTACTCTTCTAGTCCTTCAGTAGAAATCCTAGATTTATTATATATAATATATATACATATTAGAGATTAGAAGTCCTAGCAACATGTCTAAGAAAAAAGGTAACAAAAAAGTTCAAGATTTTGATGATGATTTGGACGAGAAACAACACGATAATGACTCTCATGCTATAACCTCTAAGAGTAAAGTTAAAGCTAAAAAGAAAGGGAAAGTTAATGCTGATTTTAGTGATACCGAAGAAGTAGATATTGTTAAAAAAACGTTACATTCTGAAAATGAGGATGATGTAAAACCAACAAAAAAAGCACAAAAAAAGGGTACGTCAAATTGATCCTGGAGCTTTAGTTTTTGTTTTTTTTTTTCTATTAAGTATTTATTTGCCTTTATAGCTAAAAACAAAAAGAAAGGTGATATCTCTGATGATGACCAAGAGGAAATCCAATCAAACATCAGCACAAGTATAAGCACTACCTCTAAAACAACAAAGCAAACCAAAAAAAAGAAAGGTATGTTCAACAAATCTGTTTCGTCTAGATTCTTTTTATATTTATAAAATCTGCATAGACTTTAGGGTTTAACTAATAAGACATTTAACAAAATAGGTAATAACCTACTCCTTTGATGACATGGCATAATGTTATGTCAAATTACACAACATACTTTTTCCACATATTAAGCTTAATTGCAACAGGAGTAGTATTAAATGGCTTACAAAACCTTTCCATATGTTAGAATAAAAATCAGATTATAAGAAAGACTAAAACGGTAAAAATAATTTCAGTATTGTTTGTCAGGTAAAGGAAAAAAAGATGATGATTGGTCAGACGAAGCCAGTGATGTTGAACTTAAAGAGGTCTCAGAAGATGAAATTGTAAAACCTGTTAGTAAAAAGAAATGTAAGTAGTAAGTAGGGTTGATAATTATACTGTTAAATTTTATTTCTCTTCAGTTTTACTTCAGTGTAAAAATCTCTGGTTATGTTAAATTGCTTTCCTATGAACTATGAGAGTGAGGAACTACTGTGTTTATGTGCACCTGTGTTTATGCACTATTATTCGGTCTTGTGTAGATGGTTAATCTCCTTTGAGCCTGGCATTGATGACTGAAATTCTGCCTGGAGAACATTTTTTTAAAATATTTAATAGTCAACAACTAACTATCAATATTATTAATACTATGGATAGATGTCAATAAAATCCTGGTTTTCAGGATCAGCTATTGATATTAACAGTATCGATAATTCCGCTTCACTAGTTGTGGGTCATAGTTATTGCAAATTTTAAAATTGTGTTTCCTATATATTATACTAGTTATGTGTTCATATATAGCTCTAGTTATATAATGTTAATTCTTCTTTGATTGGTTTCGATATTATATATTAGTAATAATTATTTTATGCTTACAGCAAAAAATAAAAAGAAAACAGTGGATGAGCTCAGTGATGATGAGGATCATCATGATCAAAAGTCAGTAGTAAGCAATACATCTAGCAAACAAGCCAAGGGAAAAAGTAAAAAGGGTTAGTTAATCTTTTGAATTTACTTTTTTTACAATTAATTTAAAATACCTATAACTCCATAACAACTTACGAGGGTGGATTGAAAAGTACTCGGCCTAACCAAGAAAATAAACAAATACTAAATCAGTTATATTTTTATTTTTCTACATAATCACCATCAAGTTCAATACACTTTTGCCACCTCCCCTTCCAAGCATTTAGACCGTTGAAAAAAAATGATTCTTCCTTAGAGTCAAAATATGCGTCTACAGCTGCTTTGACCTCGTCGTTTGTAGAAAATCTTTGACCTCCCAAGTGCTTTTTTAGGTTAGGGAACAGAAAGAAGTCTGATGGTGCCAGATCAGGTGAATACGGTGGATGCGGTAACAGTTCAAAGCCACAGTTGTGAATTTCAGCCATTGACTGTACTGACGTGTGAACACGGGCGTTATCTTGATGAAACAGGACTTTTCTTCTGAGCATTCCTCGACGTTTTTATTTTATTTCCTCTCGTAAACGACGTAGTAAGGTGCAGTAG